ATTGCCTGCGTTATTTGTATGAATTGTATTAAAAATGCTTATTCCAAATATTAAACTGCACACTGAAAGCATTTAATAATCATATCGCATGGTCTTAAAAATAACTCCATCTAGCAATATTTTAAAAACTACATAAAAGACGGAAACTATACCACCACTTAGCAAAGACTGAAACCTTAGAATAATTTCCTCTCGTTAATAACCAAACTCCTTATTATGGTTTCAGACAGCAGAAATTTCGAGAAAGTAATCCATGAAGGAAAGAGATAATAATCTGAAATACTGGAGCGATAGAGTATTATATTAAAGCAATATATTTTTAAAAATTTTAGTTTCGTGATTGAAATTAAATTATAGAGCTTTTAAAACGTCCTTCGTTTCAAGCGTTTTGAAATCATTGAGATTGCAAGCGTTTTCAAAACATCCTTCGTTTCTTTTCCGCACAAGATTTTAGTTTGGAATGCATCATTGAAAAAACATTTCATGCAAAGTATCATTTACAAAATGGTCTATTAGGAAACTATAAAATAGTCCCTAATCGTACTTACAATACAGTATGATTCCTAATTTATGTTATAAACCTGAAAACGCGGTATAAAACAAAGATACGAATAATATTCACATAGGAAACCCAGGTAAGAATCCATTTATTTAATCATAAATACAAATTAAACTGCATATGCATTAAGAAAACTTTAAAATGAGATTGAGATCTTATAATATCTCATATGAATTGCTTTATACGAAGAACAGCACCCACAGAACCTTTTATCTCTGATTTAAAAAGATATTGCTTCAAACTGCGTCATGAATACATATGTATATTAATAGTTTGCATAAGAAACACCGTTTGTCGATAGAGGGCAGTGGGTGTGTATCTCAGTAGGGAAAGACGCTATTCGCGATCGTGTTGTCGTCATTGCTGGGAGACACTGCATATCCCGAAAAAGCAGACATGCATTACTTATACGGTTATGCCAACAGTAATGCCTGAGCTGCGCTACGAATGCATGACGGGCAGTTTCTGGATAGACGAATGCGGAATCAAAGAATTGTTACATCGTCAACTTTTTGAAACAGTTTCTTTCTACGTCACCTGAGAGAACGCTGTTCAACGACGAAATGTACGCAATCCAATATTTGAAGAAAGCATCTTGAACATTGTGGCATAGCCAAGTCAAGTTAAAGAATTATTGCACAAAACGTAGGGGTGAGTCAAAATGCCATTTGGAGAGTGTTAAACGTTAACCCGCAGGAATATCCTATCCACCTTGACTTCCACGAGTGCTTTTGCAGTAAACTGCATTGCAGCCGGACTTCACAGCTCATGTACTATTTACAAATAGGCGACGTGTACCCCCGAAGGTGTATTTAATGCGCACTGCTCTCAAGAAAGGGCAACCTGAGAATCTAAACAACGCGACCACATTCGTCTCAACAACGAATCAGTGCGAATGAGAGGGCGGGTATTGTCCACGACATATTAACTGGCCCATACCTACATTCCCAGCATCTCAATAGCCAACACTACATTATTTTTCCGGAACAGATGTTACCAGCACTGCTGGAAGATGGTCCGATCTCCATTTGTAACCGAATGTAATTGCAGCATGATGGGGCGTCAACCCACTTCAACAATGATTCGCATTACCTGAATGGCCTTTTGGGGGCCCAAAGGATTGGCTGGAGGGGACTACTCACTTTGCCATCTTGATTCTCGATTTATCGAGCTTCGAGCTTCGATTGCTTTTCTGGGGACATCTGAAGAGTTTTGTTTATGCGATTCCAGTTCACTCAGTAGAGGATCTAGTTGCTCGAATATGAGTACCTGCTGTATGTGTGCATGAAATATCTACCATCTTTGCTAGTGTATTTCAGTTGCTCCACCGATGCTGTCAAGCATGTATTGCTGTTGGTGGACAGAATTTTGAATAGCTCTTGTAAGCATCTTGTTTCAGTTGAAGTGAGACTCCCTGTATTTATGTATAAATAAATGGTTGCGACCTGATGTGAATATTATTCATATCTTTGTTCTGTACCTCCTCTCTATGTGTGTGCCATGAATTTGGAATCACCCTGTATATTCACTCAGCATTAATTCTCTTGTTTACAGGTAACTCTGAATATTTTAATGATTTTGCAACTGTCCTTCGACTTGGCTGATTTTATTTAATATTAAAGATCTTACCTTTGAAACATTCGAAGCATTCCGTGTTTTCCATAAGCGTGTATTTGGAACAATTTTTTCACTTGAAAACAGACTTTGACGTTTTGTTTTCTTTTCTTGTTGACAATATCGTATCTTTAGATATCGAAAAACCATGGCTTTCACAGTGGTTTTTAATATTTTGATACGAATAATTTTCTTCGAAAAGAGCACAGACACAACCTTTCATCCATTGCTTTATGCAAAACCACCATTTTCCATGAAAAACAAAATTGTCAGGTAGCAGAAGATAATTAAAAATTTCGGTACTTATCCGTTTTGCCGGCGCAGGCGATAAAGTCGCCAAAACTGGTACAACCAATGCCAAACGGAATATCCTCGCTGGTAACCTTTTACGCCTCATTTTCAAAACGAGTCGCAGCCATCTTATCAGATTGATTGTTTCTTTCAATACTGACATACAATTACATAGAATTTTTATCAGATAGTTCAATTTTATGCCTAAGGCCATTCGCGGAAATTAAGTCAATTAGGATGTAATCACATCGCTCACCCGAAGGCGAAAATATAGAAAAGGAAAAGTCAAAGGTTAAATTCCTCCATTTTAATGACCTAGCGAAGTAAAGCACTACGGTTTTGCATAATTTCTGTGTACGCTGTTCGTACGAACTGAAATACTAATTCTTTCATTTAAATCTGTATTCCATGTTAAAATTTAACTTGAAATTAATGTAGAGATAGTTACTGAGAGAATTATATTTTTGCAGCGTAGTTTACGTGAGATGATATCACTGGGGGTCACGTGATATGAACCGACGAATCAGGATGTCATAAAGTGAAAGCATAGTAAATTCTTAAATTAATATCTTTCTACAAATGTATTGCTTTTATTCTTTCTTTTTACAAAATTTTAAACGATATTAAAATTTTTATGCTTTCAAAATAAAAAAATTATTAGAACTAGGAATTTGTTAAAAATTTTTATGTGTATACTGTATGTTGTCGCCAATAAAGTCTGCGTGGCGAGATTTGCACGGGCGAAACGAAAAGTACCCAAATTTCAAAAATATAGCTTCAGTTAAAAAAATAAACAAATTTCCAAGCAGACAAGTTTTATTGCAAATTTCCAAGCAGACTAGTTTTATAACAAATTTTAGCAAAGTTATTTTAGCAAAAGTCGTCTAAAAATAGGCGAACAGCTATTTAACGAAGAACAAATTTAAGTTTACCCTAAATAGTACCTTAACCAGTTAAACACATATGAACAGAAATCGGATTCCTCATGAATGCGAGTTTTGATTAAATTTTTAAATCTGAATAATAAACCTATCATCATCTAGAGATAAGAAGCAACCAAAGGCAACCAATCTAATACTCTAGGAAAACATTGTAAGGACTCACTGTTATGATTTAAGCAGGCACTTCGTCAGACGGCCATAATGACGTTACGTTTAGGACGAAATGAATATCTGACTGAATTTGATTATTCGCTTCTTTTAGTTTTCAGAATTGTCTAGCCTCAGTTGGAATCTCTAAGTGCCTTTGAAGATCTTAAATAGTGAAAGTTAAAAAAAAAAATGACTCAATCATTAGGCTTCCATCCAAACCAAAATCAAAAACTGATCTGGCTGCTTTCCAAGAACGTCTAATGAAATTTGGGTATATATGATATTTATTGTTTATTTTCTGTAGCTTCTGATAACAAAATTCACGATACCCAGAAAGGATAATAGAAACATTAATGACAATGGGGTCGAAAGGTACCACACATTATCATACATATATACTAACAGAAGATGCATTTCTTAATAAATTCCTCCTAATTTAGAAGTCAAATAACAAAAAATCAGCGTTATATTTTTAAATTTGTTCGCGGTTTGTTTTCAAAAATCAGCGATATATTTTCAAATTTGAAATTATAACGCTGAATTTTTTTCTTTGTTGTTTCACTTTTGAATTAGTATTTGTTCTGCGTGTTATTGTATCTTAAAATACCTTTTATGAAGTGGACACTTTATTAGCTGCCTGCTAATTAATTTCCTAATTGCTGTATCATGCTGGAATAAACGGCAATCTTCATCATCTATCTTCAGAAGCAGAAGTTTCAAATTTTGGTCGTGATCGGCCCACTGGTTCCAAAGATATAATTTTTTCGACATTTATTAACTTCGAATTTTCAAGCTGCAAAATTGCGTAGTTTGACTTCCAATTACAGTGCAGTGTTGTGTTTCAGTGTCTATGTGCCTTTGGATTACTATGGAATACCTTTATACAGATGAAGGACAGATGAAATACTGCTGCCAAGGTAAGAAAATTTGACTTTTTCCTGTATTCCAGATAGAAATATAAAAATTCAGCACCAAACGCAGTACTGTACAGAAAAACTTAGATCCTTTCCCATACGATGAGTGACACAGATTCCTCCACTTACTCGAGAGAATTTGCTTTGCAAACATTCATTACCTCGGACATAAGCTATACTGAGAAGATTGATAAACTCACTGACGAAATTAAAAAGATCGCAACTTCCTTTCGAGGTGGCAAAAATATTCTACCCCTACCCCTAGGCTTGCGAAAGCAACTGATAGACACGGTTGAAGCCTTCCGAATTCTGGCTTTGGGAGTATCTGAGTATATCCCACCTCCGGATACCGTCGATAAAGCAGTCAACACATCCAGTATTTTCGCGTGTGAACTAGCAAGTCAACAGCAACACATCACAGCTGCACCTAATCTAGCGCAAAAGGCAACAGACAATCGAAAGTCCTACGCAAGTGTAACGGCGCAAAAGCCTAAACACACCTTGCTGATCTACCCTAAAGACCCGTCCACAACATCCAGGAAAGTGTTAAAAGAAAAATTGACTGCTGAATTTCCGTTACCCACATTGGGAGTTCAAGTAGCAGCATTAAGATACATCCCGCAGGAAGGACTTGCAGTGGATTGCCATACAAAGGAGGACATTCACGCACTCTCGGAAAAACTGCAGACTGAAAAGGCTAAAGAATTCTTGCAAACCAAGATCCCAAGCACAAGGCTTCCCAGGGTTGCTATACACAATATCCCATTAAGCGTTACACAGGAGGAACTTGGACGAGTCATCAGTTTAGAACTCCATATTAACAAGAATAATGCCAAAATCCTGTACAGGCTCAAAGAAAGGAGTAACACAGTCAAGTGGATTGTCGAATGTAATCCCGATGCCTTCCAACAACTCATGCGCTCCAGAAAACTACTCATCGGCTGGCGGGCACATCGAATCTCAGAGTACTTCAACACTAAGAGGTGCTACCGCTGTCAAGCATTTGGCCATACCCAGCAGGGATGCCAAAATAAAATCTATTGTGCATACTGCTCGGGGAATCATGCAATCAAAGACTGTCAAGCCAGACGAGCCACATGCATCAACTGTGCAGACAGTAACTACCGCAACCGAGACAATAAAGCTTGCGACCATCCAGCATATGATGTTGCCTGTCCAACATACACGAGATACGTCGAACGGATCAAACGCAGCACTATCTATGAATAGTCTATCTGCTACTAATGCTAACAACAACACGCCTGTAATCCAATCTAATAATAACAATAATCATATGCAGATTCTCTCTCCACATATACTATACCTCCATCAAGCAGGAACATAGGTACACTAAGCACAAGTATCATCAAATGCCTGCAAATCAATCTTCAAAGGGCTGAGGCAGCAACATCTCATGTCCTCACGCAAGTTATTTCCAACGACATAGACCTCGTAATCATGCAGGAACCATACTGTAGAGAAGGTCACGTCGCTAGCTTACCTATTGCATGGAAAATATACCAAAAGGAGTCCCCGACGGCAGATCTTGCTCCTAGAGTAGCAATTGCCTGCTGCAACCCCGCATGGACACCACAAGTCATCAAGCTGCATAGGGATTATGTCGCCATTCTAATCATTTTTGAAAATATGCAATTTATCCTTACTTCGGTGTATTCACCACCAACAGATGCAATTGGCAGCACTGTCGCCCACATAAGCGAAACAAGTAGAAAATTTCCAAACACAGCTCAAGTCATAGGAGGCGACTTTAATGCCCATCATATTATATGGGGGTATAGTACCACAAATCCAAAAGGGCAGGAGCTTGAAGATTATATTGCGGCAAACAATTTACAATTGCACAATACAACGAATGCACCACCTACATTCGATAATTCGTACAATCAAGGATGGCCAGACTTAACGATCTCAACTTATGATATTGCTAACAACATACATTCATGGCATGTCTCAGACTCTGAAAGTTGTTCAGATCATAAATACGTAGAATTTACTATACAAACAGATACCACCATTTCTATAATTAAACGCTATAGGCTGCCAGGTAACAAGGTTAGACAATTGACCCAGGCCTTTACTCGTCTCCTGCAAGCAAAAGAATTGCAGCTAGAATCTTGCAACAACTCAGAACACCTTGATTCCCTTGCACAAGGACTTCTAGAGGAACTTAATGAAATATGTCAACAAATTTTACCCCTCCGTACAACCAAGAAATTACAAGGAATCTCTTGGTGGACCGGCGAACTAAGGCAACAAAGACAAAAATGCAGAGCTTTGCGCCGCAGACTAAGAGGCAACGTGGACGGAGAGACCAAAGCACAGATTCTGACTACATACCGGCAAGAGCGGGCTAAATATAAGAAGAATATTCTCGCTGCAAAAGTGACAAGCTGGCGTACCTTCTGTAACAACAATACGAATCCCTACGGGATCTTACATAAGATTGCAACACAGAAGGTATTCATTCAAACCAGCACAAATTCATGCACAGGTTCCAACAGCTAGTCTTTCAACAAACCCAGCGGGGTTTACAGCTGCCACCCTTCTTGACGAAATTTTTGCAAAGGACAATCCGCATGAAGATACACTGGAACAACGTGCAGTGCGAAACAATACAACTATCCCAGATACGCCAGATGATTATGCTTTCTCAGCAAAAGAAATCGCTCATGTATTTCGCTACCTACCCCTGAAAAAAGCCCCAGGACCGGATGGCCTGGACTATTCAATAATTAAAGTTGCATATAAAGCCAATCCAGATTTCTTCACTAAATTTTTCAATAAATTACTTCAGGCAAAGCTCTTCCCAACCGTATTTAAGAAGGGACAGGTAGTCTTGTTCTTGAAAAAATTCAAAAATCCAGCTGAACCGCGGTCTTACAGGCCAATCTGCTTGTTGTCTGCACTGGGCAAAGTGTATGAAAAGCTGATTGTCAATCGACTTCGTCATCATCTGCACAAGACCAAATATCTAAGTGTCAGACAATTCGGTTTCCGCATAGGATCTTCCACCGTTCAAGCCCTTTCAACAATCAAGGATTGCATCCAGAAGAATAGAAATGATAATATGCATACGGCTTTCATTTCGATTGACCTGGCCAGCGCATTTGATACTCTGTGGTGGCCAGCAATCAAACAAGCTTTACGCAATGCAAAATGCCCGACCAACCTTTATCTAACAATCACAAGCTACTTACAAGATCGTATGTTAATAATGTCCCACGATGCAGGTGTTTCATCCAAAGCCCAAGTGAGAGGTTGCCCGCAAGGCTCTTGCGCGGGGCCCCTCCTATGGAACATCACATTTAACGAAGTGCTCGCTGCAGACTGGCCCGCACACACGCGAGTTGTCGCCTACGCAGATGATGCTGCACTCCTGGTGCGAGGACGCACACGCAACGAACTGGAGAAAAACGGCACAGAAGTCTGCACACTTTTTGCTGACTACTGCACTCGACTTAAGCTTCAAATATCAACAGAAAAGTCAACAGCGTTGATCATTCCAAGGCCAGGAACAAATCCAACACGACGGCCCTGTATTAAATTAAACGGGAGAAATATTAAGTTCGTTAAAAATCTTAAATATCTAGGAGTAACATGGGACTCCGGTCTAACCTTTATTCCTCATATACAAGACCTTCGTGTTAAAAAACATCTCGAATAGCGAGAACAGCGCGCCAATTTCAGGGCAAGAATTGGGGTCAGAGCCCCCATTTTCAGAAACTGTTATATCTCACAGTTGCAGAGAAAATCGCATTATATGCAGCCCCAATCTGGGCAAACCCAATGGGAGCCAGGAAAATCCGTCAACTATCAGCCTTGCAAAGACCTTTTGCGATAAACCTATGCAAAGCATATCGAACTACAGCCACAAATGCAGCACAGGTACTAGCTGGTATCATACCACTGCATATCAAAGCCTTAATGGAATCTGCATATGCCCAACTGATCCACTTGCGCCGAGATGCGACATTTGGAAACACTACCTATAGCCCAGTCCAATATGAGCATCGGGGCGACGTATTGCGTACACATCCCTCAATAAAAGGGACAGGCATACGCACAGTTAAATCCAACTGCCTTCATCGAGACACCCTCACGAAGATATACACGGATGGCTCGAAGCATGAACATGGAGTAGGTAGTGCCTTTATACACTATGATGGTTCCAACACCGAATACACATGGAAAGGACATCTGAAACCGGAAAACAGCGTCTTTCAGGCGGAAGTTACTGCTCTCACAGCAGCGGTACAGCATATACTCAACAACAATATACAGGCAGCTACCATATACACGGACAGCCTTTCAGCAATAAATGCAATAGAAAATCAACACCATGTATCGCCGAGCATCATTAACTTGCAAGACATCCTGCAGCATAATCGTCACACTAAAATTACCATGGTCTGGGTCAAAGCCCACGATGGCAACCAGGGAAATGAAGCAGCTGACCGTTTGGCTAAGGATGCTGCAAGCAATCTCGAAGCACAAGAAATAAATATTCCTGCCCCACCATCCTATCTAAAGCGTCATTTGCAGGGACAAGCAATACGACAATGGCAAGAAGAATGGACTAATGCGGAAACAGGGAGGCGCACCTATGAGCGTATTTCAAAGGTATCAACTGACCGCCTTATCGCCATTGCTCCTTTGGTAAACTACATAACAGGTCACGGGCCGTTCCCGTCTTATTTTCATCGACATGGGATATCAAATACAGACATCTGTGTCTGTGGAGAAGACGGAACGCCAGACCACTACCTATTCAGGTGCCCTCTGACAAATACCATGCATCTTTTCATGCCCACGAGCAACATAACTGCCTACCACCGACTGATAATAAAGCACAAGGGAAGCATTAATGCAATATGTAAAATTATAAAATTTATCGCGGCACTAGGTCAGGATATCTGCCAGCCCATTTAATCAACATAAGGTTTTCCACTGCATTTATCCAGGAAACTACAATTTGCACACGCATACCTTATATCTTATACCTAAACAGAACTTAAACTGGTTTGAGAACTCTTGCACAATAGCAAATATTTAATGAACTTTAACGCTGTCATGTGTCCTTATTAGTTCTATACAAGCACAGTATTATGTGCTTTTGTCAGTATTATAACGACTCTGTAGCATGCCTTCCTATAAGCATCATATCAGCTCTCTGTATCATATGTTTCTATTAGCACTTATTACTCATATACTATCATATGTATCTTTGTCTACCTTAATATTTATTTGCACAATGTGTTTTATTCGTATTATATCTGCTTTGCTATTAGTATCATATCAGCTCTGCACCATGTATATTTATTGGCATCATATTTACTTTGTACCAAGTGTATTTACTCGTTCTTCACCTGTACTGCATCTACTCAGCACCATGTCATTTAATTAGCTCTATATTTGTTCTGCATCATGTATACATTAATATCATATTTGCACTGCATTATGTGTTTCAATCGTATGACAGCCTAAGTTCGTGCACTATGAGTTGTCTAATCATAAGTTTTTTTTTTTTTTTTTTTTTTTTTTTTTACACATATACTATCATATGCATTATATGAAACACCAACTGTTTACCCCAAATATTTATCTGCATTAAATATTTTCATTTGTATTACATCTACTTTACATCATGCGTTCCTATTAGTACAACATATGCTCTGTACCATATGAGCCTATAAGCTATTTATCTGTTCTGCATCATGTATATTCATTAGTATCATATCTGTCCTGCATCAAATGATTTTAATCGTACTATACCTGCTCAGCGGCATGTGGCCCTTTTTTTTTTTTTTTTTCTCATATCTGATTTGCATCATACGTGTTCATTAGAACTTAAACTGCACTGCATAATGTATTTTCATGTATTTCTATTAGTATCATATCTGCCCTATGTCACGTTTTTAATTAGCTCTAGATTTGCTCTGCATCATGTGTATATACCAGCATCATACCTGCTCTGCATAAAGTACCCTAATATTTATTTGTATCATATGCTCCTATTTGTATTATATCTGCTTTGCATCATGAGTTTCTATTAGTATAACATATGCCCTGTACCATGTGTATCATATTCATGCTTGCATCATGTGTTTTCTCATTAGTATTATCTCTGTCCTGCATCATGTGCTTTTAAATAGCATCATCTCTGCCCAAAGTCATGTGTTTTTATCAGTATTATAGTTGTCCTGAATCAT